AGCTATATATTAAAGAATAAATGGCTGTAACATTTATCTGAAAAAACCACAGAGACCTCTCAGTGACTCTCAGGAGAAAACAAGGAAGCGTTCTGGAGACAATGCTCATAGATAGAGATGTTAACATAAATTTTAAGATTTTAGTTCAGAGACCCGAACATAACTGTAAAATATATTATTTTAAGTATCACCCAAACTTTTCACGTGAGACTTGTAAGTAGAACACTCCACCAAAGTTCTGCCCTCTAGGGACAGATTTCCAGAAGGTGTAAAACTTTCCACTATTCATATATTCCATTCAAAGCTTTATAAGGCTCTCAGAACCATATGAAAGTACTCCCAAGGAAAAGCATCTTAGTTGAGAACATTCCAGTACCTGTTTTATAGGGTTGGTCAAAAAGTTTGAGTTTTTTCAAAAAAAGGCAAAAAAAAACCGGAAGAAACTTTTTGCCAAACCCAAAAAAAAAAAACAACAAAGAAGTGGGGGGGAATAATAAAAATTGGGCCAAACCCAAGGCCAAAATCAAAAACAACCAAAAAAAACTCCTGGCCAAGCCAAAAAGAGGTCCTAGGTTTCTTTCCTACCTAGCCTGTCACCTATTCTGAGCTTCTCTTCATTTCTTCTGGCTGGAGCAGTTACATCTACCAGAGCTTCAGAGGTGAGAACCAGCAGTGGCATCACCTTGGAAAGTCCCAAGCTGCCTGGCATGATGGATACTGTATCTCTCTGGACACTGGGAGTCTCATATGACTACTCCTTCAAGAGAAGTGGCTTCCTATCGGTGAAGCTGCAAGAGGGGACATCTGTCCTGAAAGTAGAGTCAGCCAAATTGACCACCTGCAACTGCTGTCTTATCTTGCTTGGCATTCATGGGCCCAGAAATGAGAGGTTTTCACCATTCACCCCTGAAACTCATGGGTGCACCTCCTAGAACTTGCATCTCACCGACTAACTTAGAACCAAAAGTTCTGACTTGCACACAAGATGTTGGATCTCATGAGTTCGAGCTTCTGCCTGCAGAATTTAGCTATGTACGTGGCACCTTCCTAATGTTGCACAGCTCCAAGGCCCTCCATACAGAAATGTGTTTACACTAAAGGATTTAAACCAGATGAAATCAGCTGATGCCAGCACAAGAACCTGGCCGAAACAGGTGACTAAGGCCTTGGCCATCTGCTTCAGGTCTTCCCTTACCAGGTTTCAGAGGGAGAGCCCTGGATGCTCTTATGCAGGGGATGCCTCTTTTTGGCTTCTCTTCTTTTTAGTTCTGACCTGTATCCCTGGGTCTGGTCGGGATTAGCCTTAATGCCATGGTTATCCTGAAATCGCCTATAATTATCCACTAAGGATAGAGGCTTCCCTGGTAACTCAGAAGGTAAAGAATCTGCCTGCAATGCAGGAGACCCAGTTTTGATCCCTGGGTCAGGAAGATCCTCTGGAGACAGAAATGGCAACCCACTCTAGTATTCTTGTCTGGAAAATCCCAAGGACGGAGTAGCCTGGTGGGCTACAGCTCATGGGGTTGCAAAGAGTCAGATATGACTGAGCCACTAACACAAGGATACAGACTTTGATTCTCTAAGATTTGTGGGAAATGGCCAACAAAGGCCAGGAAAGATCTATTCGGGATCTGTCCAAACCCTGTTACGATGCTAAACATTGAGTGGAACCTGTATTTGAAAATGAACAAGGTCAATCCTGATTCTCCCAGGCAGCTTTGAACTTTGAGGACAGAATTCATGTGCCTCTGAGGCCTTATAAAGTACAATTTTTCTATCAAAAGAAATTAGTACCTCCAGATATTTCATATCAGTCACCGTCCTTCCCATCAACTACCAGATAGTGTCAGGAGCCTCCAAGATCACTTGTGAACACTATTGAAACCGTAGTGAAATTATCTTCTCCTTGTCTTTGCATATGATACCATTGGCTCCTGAAAATCAGCACTGAAAACTACTGTCTCTGGTCAGCAGTGTTAGGCATTCTGAACCTGGGTTTTGGGTTCAGGTTTCCTTTGGTGTCTGTTTAGAAAGCAATAGTCCATTCCAATCTAAATTTTTATCTGGATGTTTATGCTTCACAATGCACTTGCTACGAGACTCAGAGATAGTCACTACCATCTCTTAAATTGTTATTCTTAGAAAGTGTGATACATGTAGACTTTCCCTATGTGGTTGGGGTTTTGCATCTCTATTCAAGATGGCTCTTGGCCCATAAACAGTGCACATCATGCTCATGAAGGGCACACACTAGGCTTCTAGCTACCAATGTCCTTCTTAGACTCACCTGTATCTCCTAAGGTATAAAACTGAAACTTTCCATCCTCTGAGAGGCCTGCATGAGATACTCTGACGAGAAGAAATGGGATGAGCCAGGGCTTGCTTGAATATTTTCTCTTTCTGGGTAGCTTTCTGCACACAGTGTATGCGTGAGAACAATAGCCATACGAACTGCACAAATATGCTGCCTGCACATCTGGACACATAGGGCAGGCATGCCAGAGCTAGCCCTGTGCGACCATCTCTTCTCCAACTCCCCTGCCCACTCCATCTCCTTCCCTGATTCTTACATGTGGGCATGCCTCGGAGACTCTGCCCTGAAGCTGCAGAATCCAAAACCAGGATGATGGCACAGATGCTGGTTCTCAAGTGACAGTAAAGACTCCCTGACTAGCATCACCAGGCTCCAAGTTCCTTCTCTCCTGGCAGCTTCTCCAGCTGGACCTTTCCAGATCCTAGGGATGAGGGCTAGAAGTTTGCTCTGGCAAGAGCCTGCTCCTGAAAGGCTGGAAGCCATGAAAATCCGTGACGAATTCACTGCTTCCCAACTTTTTCCAAGTGGCCTCTACCCCTGCAGTACTGAAGAGGGGGGTTCCCTTTCTCCCCATAGCAATGGGACATAATGGGGTGGTCTTCTTTTTCTTTCTTTACACACCCCAACACTGGGGCTTCCCTGGTGGCTCAGTGGTAAAGAATCTTCCTGCAACACAGGAGATGCAGGTTCGACCCCTGGCTTGGGAAAATGCCCTGGAGAAGGAAATGGTGACCCACTCCAGTATTCTTGCCTGGGAAATCCCATAGAGACAGAAGCCTGGTGGGCTATAGTCCATGGGGTCGCAAAAGATGTACAACTTAGCGACTAACCACCACCACCCAATGTTAGCAGTGAGTTTCTCAACACCTTACGGGTGCCATCAGCACCATGTGCTCCAAAGCATATAGGTCGGGTGTGGGGTGAATCCTCTTCTACCTGGCCATCACACCCTAGTGGGGCCTTGTAGTTCCTCTATGCTCTTATCCTTCCTTTCATGTTTTGTTACACTAATTGAAAAGAAATAAGGGGGCTGTCTCAGGCATGTCAGGCAGAATTCCTGCCATGGCTGATTCCTTCGAAATTAAGGGCCTCTTTCTATATATATATATATTTTTTTTTTTTCTCTCTCTCTCTCTTTCTCTACCTTTTTTTCTATTGCTTTCTATAACACAAGTTATCAGATTAAAAAAAAAGTTCCCAGTTTCTGTTTATAAGCAAAAGAGTCCCCTTCCCTCCGTGTCTGGTTAGAACTTTGACCTGCACAGTCTGTGGCCACTGGTGCTCTCCAAGACAGGCTGCAGAGTCTTCACCATTCTGCCCCCAACAGGCCCTCAGTAACCTCAAATTCCAGGTGCTGGAGGCTTTCTACCAGCTTCTCTCCACATCTGGCCTCTGGCTTTTTCCCTTTTTGCAGTATCTCAGAGGTATATTCCAGCCCTGATCAAGCCCTCCCTTCTTCCCCAAGCCTCCATCTCGTGCCCCAGTAGTTGCTTCCTGGAATAGTTTCAGCTTGCAGTTACAAATAGCTTTAGCAAATGAATAGCCTGCCTCTCCAGTTTTTGGTTCTAATGTATGAACCTAGTTTTCAAAAAATGTTACATCCAGAAAAGTCAATGTATATACGTATAGCTATAGCTTGATGACTATTCCTATGTAACCAGCACCCAGATGAAAAATATATTATCCGAAGCCCAAAGCATAGCTTACGTTCGTTTCTAATCATGGTAGACTTCCAGCAGCATGGATTAGCTTTACCTGTTTATAATCTCATGCAGATGAAAGCAGACACACTATATTCCCTTGTGCCTGATTTTTGCCCAGCATTATGTTTGTGTGATTCTTTGCTATCATTGTACAGGCTTGGAGATTATGCATTTCCTGTGCTGTGTAATATCCCACCATGTGAAAATACCATTTTTTCTTTTTTAAAAAAAACTTTTTACTTTGTACTGGAGTATAACTGATTAACAATGTGGTGATAGTTCCAGGTGGACATTAAAGGGACTCAGCCATAAATATACCATATTTGTAAAACCCCACTTTACTATTTTGCTCCATTTTTTTGTTCCAGATTTTGGCCAAAAAGCACTGCTGTAATGGCACTCTTGTTGCGTTACCTGATTTTTTTTTTTGGCCACGTATAGTCCTTTCTGTTGGGTCTACATAGGTGTGGAAATGCTGAATCACAGGGTCTGCATTTGCTATGAGCTGCCCAATAGTTTTTCAAAGTATATGAGAGTTCCTTCCTCCCCATCCTGGCCCCACTCAGCATGTTCTGTATTTCCATTTCAGCCATCCTGCTGGGTGTATGCTGGTGTCTCACTGTGCTTTTAACCTGCATTTCCTTCTGGCTGGTTCTGTGGCAGCCTCATGCATGAAGTCGGGGCATTGAATGAAAGAAATCACTGCAGACAAATGCTCACTAGCTCTTTCAAGAGACACAGCCTTTCTCCTCACTTTCGAAATGACTTGTTTGCAGAGACTAGCTTGAAAATCCAGAGTCCCTCAGGCAATTGCTTTGTGAGGAATCATGCTGTTGTTAACAGGTCTAGACACATCCCAAAGTCTCAGGCGAGTGATGCTGTCTGGCTGGGCCACTCACTTGTTCGTTCATCTGCGGACAAGTGCAGAGTCCTCAGATACATCCTGGGCACTGTTCTAGGTGTTGGGACAAAACAATAAAAGCCGTGTGGGCACTGGGGGAAGAACAGTCCAGAGGATCAGCAGGTACAAATGGCCCATGGGGGGACCATGTTTGAGGAATAGCAAAGAGGCCGTTGGGAACAGGAGGTAATGGGGTGCAGAGAGGAGAGGGTTGTGAGCACTCCGGCTTCCCTCAGCTCTGAATGAAATGTCCTCAAAGGGGCTCTGGCCCCACCTCTATGAAGCCTCACAGTGCCACATCCTCTTCTGAGCTCTGACCACCTGTCTCTCCTCCCACAGTCTGGGAGGGGCCAAGTTAGTATCCCTCCCACCTCACAGCTTTCTATACAAGTTGTTTGGGGGATGCATCAGAAAAGATAGCAACCAGATGGAGTCTGGGGATATTACTTTTTCTGTGATACAGTGAACAAATATTCCTGAGGAACTCTGCAGGCTATAGCCACAGCTGGCCCTCAGCTGGGTGTGGGAACCAACAGGCACAGTACGGGTTAAAATGGAAAGTCTGTGATATCTGTATTTCCTGTCTGCATCATAGCTAACCAGATCCCACTTTCAAAGTCCCTCATCTCAACCAAGCGTCTCCTGGGGCCACTTTAAGAGGGAATCCAACATGTGCTCTTTATTCAGGCAAGCAGAGCTGTGATTTTTCTGGAAAACAATAGGAAAGAAGTTTTAGTGTTAGAACAGACTGAGCAGAAAAGTCCAGAAAAAAAAGCAATAGTATATAATAGAGGGAGCATCAATCAATAAATGGTGTTGAAAAAGCCTGACTAACCACAGAGGAGAAGTAGACTCTGCTTTACAGATAATACCAAAATTAATTTCCATAAAACACAGAAGGAAATATGAGTAACTTTTTTTTTTTCACAACTAGATGTGGAGAAAGACTTTATCATGCGAAAAGGAACCCATTATCATCATCATTATCATCTGAGACTCTGTGACAAACACAATTCTAGTGCTTTATCTATGTTAAGTAATTGAATCCTCAAAACAACTATGTATATTTTTTACCATTTATTCTTACCATTTGCTAGATGATAAAATTGAGACACAGACAGGTTAAGTAGTTTTCCCAAGGTCAAACAAATGATGGTGCCAGAATTCAAACCAAATAAGTATGATCTCAGGGTCACTACTTCTAAATTACTAAATTTAGAGAGAAATACTGAGAGAACTGAACAAATGGTTTAAAAGTGGTGTAGAAAACAATCAGAGTAAAAGACAAAGGAGAAAAGACAATGGGGAAAAATCATACCGCATATGTAACAGATAATGCTTTACTATCATTTGCAGAGCAATTTTCAAATGTTCTTGCCCAGAACACCAGTGGCCTGAATGATGCTAATGGGGGTTCCGTAAAAAAAAAATTTTTGATGGTCAATTAAGTTTAAGAAATGATGTGTTAAATCTGACCATGGGAAGTCTTTTTCCTCCCCTCAGCACACCTATTAATATCTCAAAGGGCAATAAAATTCTCTGAAATACAGTCTAGAAAATGTTGTCTTTGTATGTAATGAGTTTCTACAAGTCTGGAAGGAAAATATAAATATCCCAATAGGAGAATGGGCACAAGAGAACAATTATAAATATGTAATTATTGGCATATGAAAACATAGTCAGCTTGGTTAATAGTCAGAGGAAAATAAAACAATATAGAGGCACAGATTTTTTTTCTCTCAAGTGGGCAAAATGTTTAAAAAGTGTTTGTGAGAGCATGAGGGAAAAAAGTGCACCCTTATGGCCTTACTGAGATAGTAAATTAGTACAAGTTTTCTGGGGGAAGGGGGAATTTGACAATATGTATCAAAGGCCTTGAAAAAATGTATATAGGAACTTATCATAAAGAAATAACTAGACAAGTGGGAAAGGATGTATGTACAGGGAGTTCATTGCAACACTATTTATATTAGCAAAAATGTCTATTAACATATGTTAAAGCACATTTATACTTCGTAGTACTATGCACCTCTTAAAAACAGTGACATTGATCTCTGTTATTCCCAAATAACAATGTCCATAATAAATGAAGAAAAGAAATCAGATACAGTTTATTAAAAAAAAAGAAAATAAAAAAGACTAAAGTCATAGATTTCAGTTTTAATGGTAGTCAGTTTTCTCTAGTGGCGAGACTGATTTTTTTTTTTTTACTTTCTTTTTTTAAATCCCTTTCTGCATTGTCTAATTTTTTCTTACATTGATTGCTTGTTACTTTGAACATAAAAATGACTATTACCATTTTGAAACATGAAATGTTTATTGCCCTAAAATAGTGAGTCACAGATTAGAAAAATAAGAGGATTTCATTCTTCAACAAATATTAAGTTCTTTATTATGCTAGTGAACTCAGCCTCAGTCTAATAAGCTAAAGTTAAAGTGAGGGTGAGGAGAATTCATGAAGAGGAAGAAAAAGGAGCTTAAAAAATCTGAAGCCTGTGGAAATAATACATCTTTATAAAAGGAATATAGAGAAAAGAAAATTAATCTTCACTTGGTTTAATTGCTACACTGAATCACTGGCTTGTCAGAGGAGAACCCAGACAGCTAACAATTGTTCTTGTATCAGGTAGAGAAGCAAGTGGATGTCAAACAGGCTTGGCAAATGGGTCAGCAGAGCCACCCTCCAGCAGTTTCTGCTCAGCTCCTTGTTCCTGAATTTGTGGGGCAGGATCTGGGCCAACTCCTTCCCTTTTCTGACTAACCCAAAATGAACTCCGTATGTGAAATCTGGGCCAGTGCCAACATACCCAATGCTCAAGGTTGTCAGACAGCTGTTGGCAGCTCACACTAATTTTCTTTTCTCTTAAATAGTGCAGAAATGTGTTGCTTTACATATACAGGGAAAAAAAATGGATTGAGGGACCTAATTTGAGGGACCTAATTGAGGGACCTAAATACTCCAATCCTCCTAAAATTAGCCTTGAGACCAGTCAGTTTATTTACCTTTCCTTCTGTGGCACTGAACTGTGGAGATGTGGAGGGGTCACAAGGAGAATGGCCCTTTTTATTTCTGATCTGTAGAGGGAATTCTCCAGCAAATTCTCCTAGAAAGGATAGGACTTGAGTATTAATAAAGGAACTGTCTCTTTTGCTACTCTCCTCCCATTGGCAAAGCTCTCCAAAACCTTACCGCCCTTCGGGGTTCCTGAATGGGGTGCTTGGGGAGAGGTGACTGGACCTCTATGGCCCAAAAGGGAGCCTAAGACTTAAGGTCTTTGACTGGGTCCTTTAAAATCATTTTTGATTCTTATTCTTTCATTTGAGCAACCAAGGGAGACCCTTCCTTGTACAAATTTAGATGAGTTAACATAATAGCCAACTTAGGAGCTGGGTCTTAAAATATCCAGGTAAGTCAAATTTTATTTTGCTTAGCAGGAAAGCTTTCAAGTTCCAATTAAAAATGTTGTTTCCTAGGTTTATCTAAAATAGAATCTATCATAAAAGCTAGATATATTTTAGGAAGTAGAAGATTTGAGGAAATGTATTATCCTTACTGTCTATCATCTAGTCCTATTAAAGGTGGTGTGGTCCAGTGTTTAAGGTCAGAAGCACTAAAGTCTGTTTCTTCATTCATAATATAACACCTTCTCTACTGGGCTTGTTGTAAAGATGGAACAAAATAATGTTTTGAAAGTATGCAGCACTGGCCAGGCACAGACCAATCAAAAGAAACCAGTCATAAATACCACCAGCACCCCTGGGTCACAGTCCACTAAGCAAGCGTCCCACAGGATCCTCAGGTATTTGGAAAGGCTAGCATCAGAAACTTTAAAAAATTGCTTCAAAAGATCCTTGCACTCTGTTGGTGGAAATGTAAACTGGTGCAGCCACTGTGGAAAACACTATGGAGATGACTCAAAAAACTGAAAATAGAACTACCCTAATATCCAGCATTTTCACTCCTGGGTATATGTCCCCAAAAAAGCAAAAACACTAATTTGAAAGTATACATGCAACCCAGCCTTCATAACAGCAGTATTTACAATAGCCAAGATATGGAAGCAACTTGAGCGTTCATCAACAGGTGAGTGGATAAAGAAGATATGGTACATCTATGTAATGAACTGTTACTCCTCCAAAAAAAAAAAAAAAAGTGAACTTCTGCTACTTGCAGCAACAAATAGTGAGATACGTCAAAGACAAATACTGTACGATATCACTTATATACAGAGTCTAAAAAATAATAGTAATGAGTGTATATGCAGAGCAGAAACAGACTGACAGATACAGAAAACAAATTAGTGGTGACCAAAGGGGAGGGGCCGGTGAGGGATGTAGGATTAAGAATTGCAAACGACTATGTATGAAATACAGAAACGACACGGATATACTGTATAGTGCAGGGAATTATTGCCGTTATCTAGTAATAACTTTTAATGGAATATAATCTGTAAAAATACTGACTCCTTAAGCTGTACTCCTGAAACTGATACAATATTATAAACCAACTATACTTCAATTAAAAAAATACGCTGTCCTTCCAGAAACACCACTGCTCACCGTGTTACAGGGTAAAGTCCTCTGCCCCCAGCCCCAGCCCCACCCACAGACTACTGCTGAGTCTTTCCCCTCACTATCACCACCTCTGAGGGTCCAGGTCTCCACTTATCTTAGTGTTGGACCATTGACAAAGGGCAATTCAGTGGGCTCGGCAATTTCTTCGGTCACCAGAGGGTCACCTGGGGTGATGTGCGGGCACAGGCCATGGGAGGCTCCTGCCCAGCTGTGGAGAGAAAAGCCAGTGAGAGGAACAGGGACGAGTGGTGTTGACAGGAGCTGGTCAGGCCCCAGGCCTCCTGGTTCTGCACGTCTTCATTTTAGCATTAATTCTCTGATATGCCTTGAGTGGAAAGAAAAATTCTGAAAAATAACCTTTCCTGACTCTCAGATTTCCAGTCATAACAACTCTTAATTCTTCTGCAGGCAAAGTAGATGCTTCTGCCTACTAGAGGAAAGGTCAGGAAAGGCTGAACAGAAAGAAAAACACAAGGATTTATATTTCAAGATCTTATCTTCCACCTTTGCAATGAAAGCCTTCTCTTAACTGCTGTGGAGTTGTTGGAAATGAAAGGAAAATGGAGGTAACTGGGGGTGGGGTGCCTCCCAGGGGATTTCTCTGGATGCAGGGTATTTCTCTGGATGCAGGGTATTGACTCAGGAAGCCCAGAGTTCCTGCTGGGTATTGAGAGCTGGGGGAGTCGGGGAGCACCCTTGCTTGCCCCGTCTGTTCAGTGCTCCCAGAGCAATTTCATGCTCAACACTTTTGCCTCCTATCTCCTCCCTGGAGCCTGTCCCGCCCCTCCATCCCTCCAATGCCAATTCTGGAAGAATTAGAAAATCCCAATGGCTGACACAGGAGCTGTTGGAAGAAAGAACAAGTTTGTTAGATAACTCCCACAGTCATCTCCTTCTAGAAGCAGAGCCACGGGTAAGAGCTGCTAAACTTAAAGATGGGCCTGCCCGTAGTTTCTCTGTCTGATTCACATATTAAAGTGGAATTTTCCAGGAAGGGTTGATTTAATATGAATACTTCTCTTAGGTCAACAAGTTCTCTTTATGCAGCGTGAAGATCCCACCTGGTGACCGTTTGTGGGCAGCCTCTGCCCACTCCACCAGCTGTCAGACCTAAACTAGGGAGAGGAACAAGCCTCTTCAGTGAAAAAGATCCCTGCTTATGGTGTGGTTTTCACACTGTGATGAGTCTCACACAAGAGTCACAGGCTTATTGAGACAGTATATGTAGGGCTTGGGGTTTTCTATTTTTATTAGATAATATTATTTCTATTTTTAATAAATACTACTACAAAAGGAATTTGGGAACATAATTTCTCTAAGCAGTTCCCTTACCCTCTTTATGCCTCAGTTTACTCACCTAAGAAATGACAGAATTATTTAATTTTTTAATATCTATTCTAGCATTAATGCTAATTCTTTTTAGAAATATACACACTACCATGTGTAAAATAGATAGCTCAATTCTGTACTCTGTGATGACCTAGAGGGGTGGGATGTGGGTGGAAGAGAGGCTCAAGACGGAGGAGATATATGTATTCATATAGCTAATTCACTTTGTTGTACAGAAGAAATTAACATAATATTGTAAAGCAATTATACTCCAATATTGTAAAGCAATTTTACTCCAATAATAAAATTTAAAAAATAAACATTCAAAATTAGTTTAAAACCCTTATATTGGGTTTACAGATAAAATTTTTCCATTACAAAATTTGAGAAGCTCCAGCTGACAAAGTTTTAGCTAAAAGTATTTATTTCTTGTTTTCCAGGTAAAGGTGACTGTATTTTGCTAAAGGTTAGACCTATTTGAACATCTTTTTAAATGTCTGGCAATGTTGATATTTCTGTACAAGTGAATTTGACAAAGTTCAATTCCTAAGAAGCTGTCATTGGGATGAAATACTAAGTGAGACTTGAAAGTTGGAACCTAGTAAGGATGACAGGAATGAATGTGGGATAAAGACTCTTCATTACTGAGGCACAGTAGAAGGCTTCAAGAGGGAACACTTCGGCAGGAATAAGACATGCAAGATTTATGGAAACCTTTGAGTAACTAAGACTTTCCAAACCTTGGGGAGAATGAGAGCCCTGCCCTGCCATGGCAGCCTCCTGCTCATTTCCCAACCACTCCTTCAGGGTTATTTCTGAAGACAGGCAATCCCTCTGGGTGGAGTAGGAATGAGAGGGAGTGGGGAACGGATACTTTGGTGTCTTTGAGTGAATACTTTAAAAAGTTTCTGAAAGGGAGGTCATTATTTATTTTGCTTAGCTTGTTCTTTTTCAGCCAAATTACCAAGAGAATCTACTGCCCAGTTTCTTCAAGTCACTTGGAGTCATAGAACAGATTAGAGATAACAGAGAATTCAGTTCATGGAGGTTTATTGGCCCTTGCATGTGCTATACACTGGTGAGTCTTGGGTGGGCCCTATCTGAACGTACCAGTCAGAGCGCAGTCTGCATTTAGAGTCACAGGCATTGCAAGCTATAACATCAGTGGACCCTGGAGGCAGACATCTCTGCTCATAGGTCTGGTGGTGTTGCAGTGGCGCAATTGTTCCGATTACCATCTCTGAGGCTTTTGGGTGTCAGAGAGTCTGCAGTGGGTTTTCTTCCATCTTTGTCTGCATATAAACACTTCCTTCCTCATCCTGGGCTCCCCTACAGAAGAATAGTAACTGATGTCCACTCTCACCTTTTGCTCACCTTCATTTCAGACACAAAAAAAGAATTTATATATTCCATCCTGGAGTTTACCTTGTAATTTAGCTTCACTGTGAAATTCCACCCACATTTTCTTGGAACTAGCCTTTGGCCTTTTGCTCTAAACAACCTGTAGGACTCACTTCTGATCATCCCCATGAAATACTTTCTTATTTTTATTGCTGAGTCCAAGGTTTGTCCCACTCTCTGGCTTTGATGATTGCTCTACTAATATTTGCTGAAATTAAAAGAAAGTCTTCTGGAAATTTAAAACCATATCACGGCAGCTCCTGTAGAACTCTTCATAACTGGTAGGATATTGAATACATTCCAATCATCATCATAAACAATAGACACCTCTAGATTATATAATGTGAATTGTATTTTGGTCACAGGGAGTTTACAATCCAGCATATAACTATTGAAAACTTAATTCCAAACAATAAGAAGGAATAAATGCTCACAGTGAGACCTTGGGGAAGAATGAAATGAAACTCTATCTCTACACATGGTCCACACATATGAATGTCAATGGCAGGGTTTCTTAAACTAAGATTACTAAATGGAAGCAGTGAAAATTTAGTTCTTTAAAAAAAAAGTACTTATTACCAATTTAGTGAAATGGCATAGTCTTCTTTAATTAAAATTCAAGTTTCAGTGTATGGATTCTGGACTAATAATTGTGTCTCTTGTGGATCCCTTTCTTCCCTTAAAGTTAGATTGAGGCCCATTAAAACCAGGTGACAATGAACTGGTACTTTTATTTTATTCTTTCGCATAGGAACCATGCATCCAAGTAACAATCTGCATAACTGAAGGCAAGTCATCCTTCCAACAAGCCCACAGCTATCTTCTTTGAGAGGGGAAGGGCTATAGAATCTGAAGTCTTGGCTTATCTGCTGAGCATTACATATTTATTTATTTGTGACTTGAATAGGTATATGAATTTAAATAGACCAATTGTTAGAATAGGATTTCCTCAGATCAAATTTGTGTTTGCTGCTCACTGGGTGCCTGGAATTACTGCTTAGGTTGAGGATCACACACAAGCATTCATCCCAGGGCTTCTGTTCACCTTGACGAACTGTACACAATTCTGCATTCTTCCTTCTCCTGCAGACTTTTCATCACTTGGTATGGAAATCATGTAAAAAAGAAACTAACTACAAACCAAAAAAGCATAGCAAGGATTTAAAAAAAAAAAAATATCAGGAAGGAGAGGGGAAATTCCTGCCTCTAAGTGCCAGGGTCTAAAAGTCAGAGTGAATTTTCCAAGGTCTATTTATAGTGATTTAATCCAATCATGGGAATTTGAGACTGTGTACTTGTCACAAGTGGCTGAAAAATGAAAGAAAAGCAAATATTATTCTTCCCACATGGAAGACTGGAAGGTAAATCTATTTAATGCAAGAAATGTACCTTCTTTGTCCCCTGAATCAAGTTAGTCACCCATCTTTCTCTTCCTTTTTGACAGTTAGGTTTATCAATCTAAATTTCGGGCGAGAGCCCAGGAGATACCCTTTCTGATATCTGCCAAGTGACTAGAAGAATGTTAGCTGTACTCTTAATTTTTACTTGATAATCGATTTTGTGTCCATGAATTTCCATGGTTTTATTTTCCTGGTGACAGTGATGGGACCATTGGATGGTTGCTGCCATTTTTTATAATAGGACATCCAGAAAGAGACTGAAGGAGAGGATGCATACAATTAGCTGGACCTCTGTAGAGGGACACGTAAATGCCACAAAACTTTCATTTTCACTTTTTGCTCCTCAAAGTAACAAGCTCTATCTGCTTTATTCCTGCTGTTTGGAAGGGTTCTGGCCCCTCTGGGCCTGCTGTGTACATGTACCCCACATGGCCCCGGTACCCAGGAGACCGAACAGAGACCCAGCAGGTGGAAAGAAAGCACAGCGTTGGCAGAAAGGGAGGTGTTTTCATCACCTGTCACGTCCGTCTTCTGTCTCTTCTCTGTCTCCTTGCACTCGTGGGTGCCCTAAATGAGACTGAAGCTGCTATCTGTTGTCTGTCCAAAGGGAGGCAAGAGCCACGAAAAGGACCTGAAGGCTCAAAGGGAATTTTTCTGCAGAGGCAGCAGTAATTAGAAAGAAGGAAGTTTTTGAAACGGGTCAGTTCCTTGAGCACTTCTCTTGGCAGTTTGCCTAGAAACTAGTGTTTCCTGCCCCACATCCTGAGGTAGTTCCTCCTGGGAAGTAGAAATGGAACAATGGGACACAGAGAGATACTGATGCTCAACATGGCTGTTGCAGCGATTGGAGCCTGGGGTCGATGCTTCCTGATCATTGAAGGCGTCTACTCGGCAGTTGTTGAGGCAAGCTCGAGATCTTACCAGGACCAGAAGACCTTGGTGGGCAGATGCCAAAGAAAATTGCTACCTTGAGAAGTAGATGCAAAGAGGATCACAGTGAGGAACACAGATGAGCACACCTAAGGATATAGCCCCTTATTGGGTTAGGTTTGCCCAGGATAAACTGAGCCAAGTGAAT